AGCGAAGAAATAACAATCTCAAAAATGTCCTCGAGACACTCTTTGACGACCAAAGCTCTGAGGAAGACCAGTCAGAATCTGACAATGAAGAAGTCCTAACTCCTTCTGCACCACAGTACTGGAATAGCCTTTATGCCCACGCCTTATCTCCTTCAGGAGATGAAAGTGAAAGATCATGGGCGTCCTCAGACGGACAGCTTGAAAGAAGAAGGGCTGAACGGGCAAAGGCTAAGCAGCCGCAACCGGCAAAAGCCAAGGCAACTCCAGCCAGCTCACAAGCTGCTCCAAAGGCCGAGCCAAAGGCGACAACATCCAACCATGGATATGATACTGCAGACGCCGCCTTCACCAGGGCGGAGAACAGATTACTCGGAATCTTTTCAAGTTCCGAAGAAGACCACTCAGACCCGGATGAGCCACATCCGAACGTCTACGCTCGAGCCTATGATCCAAACCTGGATCCAAATCTGAGATAAGAGAATCTCAGAGTTTCACAACAGTGACTCACAAAGCTCTAACAAGAGCAAAGTGAAAGGCTGCATAATTCGATGTAGAAAACATCACCAGACATGATCTTGTACAGATGATCTCTCTGACCAACATGCATGAGTGTGTGTGCAAAATGAGTGGAGTGTCCTCAGCAGTGTACTTCAGTGCTATACCTAGCATAAATAATATGCTGTTTTTATCATGAGTCCAAACTCCGCAACTGTGACAGTGGGCATAATAGTATATGTGTGAATGTGCGGCCATGCTTCCGGTAAAAGAAAATTAGTGTCTGTTTGAAACCATAAACCTCTAAAGGGGTAGCTCTAACAGGTACCTACAGCAATGGCTGCATGCTCATACATATACATTCCGCTGCCCATTGGCTCACAGTGGTTTTACCATATTGAGACAAGACAAGCTCTCCTTGCGTAGCAAGACAAAACAACTACTGTCCGTGTGCAGGGCGCTGCCCTTTGATCCTTAGGGAATAACTGGTCATACACCTCCTCACAAGGAGTATCCCTTGGGGGTGTATCGGCACGGCAAGGGAGAGGGGAGAGGGGAGAGGGGGGGAGCGAGGGGAGAGAGGGAGAGGGGGGAGAGGGGAGAGGGGCGAGGGGAGAGGGGAGAGAGGGGAGGGGAGGGGGGAGGGAGGACGGGGAGAGAGGGAGAGGGAGAGGGGAGAGGGGAGAGGGGGAGAGGGGAGAGGGGAGAGGGGAGAGGACAGAGGGGAGAGGGGAGAGGGGAGAGGGGAGAGGGAAGAGGGAAGAGGGAGAGGGAAGAGGGAAGAGGGAGAGGGAGAGGGAGGAGAGGCAAAGGGAGAGGGAAAGGGAGAGGCAGAGGGAGAGGCGGCGAGGGCGAGGGCGAGGGAGGGAAAGAGGAAGAGGGAGAGCGAGAGAAAGGGAGGAAATGGGGGGAAAGGAAAGCAGGGAGGAAGGGAAGAAGAAGGCAAGGGCGCCAAAAAAGAAGAAGGCAAAAACGCAAGCAAACGAACAAACAAGCAAGCAACCAAGAACTCGAGCAAAGGGAAGAAATAAATAAGGAAAGTCAATAAGCACAAAGCAGCAGCAACACAAGGAATAACGGCAAACAGAATAGATATGTAGATGTGCCTGTGTGTATGCGTGTATATACCTCTACTCCGCTCAGACACCTGAAAGGTGAGCCGGCACTTACAAGGAATAGCGGATTAAAAAAAACAGATATGTATATGTGCATATGTGTATGCATCTATACTCCTCTACTCCGGTCAAGTACTTGAAATTCCAGTCAGATACCTGCAACGTGAGCCGGCGCGCACAAGGAATAGCGTCTTTTCGACAGATATGTATATGTGCATAGGCCTGTTCTCTTCATGCGTGGCCGACACGAAACAACCCAAACTGCGAAAACGCTGCAACTCAGTTCATGCTGCTCTTCACGTTGCTGGGGTCCGCGTGTCAGGTGGCCTCCTCTGCAGTGAGAGCTGTCGTCGGCGTATTGGCCTTTGGCTATGCTGCAGTGGAGATGCTCGTGGCTAGCTGGGGGGCTCGGCTCCCGGTGCACATCTGTGAAAGTGCAATGCTGGCTCACACATGGACACGGGGCAACTGTTACAAACCGTGAGCACATGTCGAAATGGGCTCGGCCTTGCGCGATGCGGACGAGCGATGCGTATCGCACACATAGCACTTCTTCTTCCTGCGCGAATGGTGGGGGGAGTTTATTCGTCGTAAGAGGGATTTGAAATCGTTGGCAGACCAGTCGCGGTTTGACATTGCTGATTACTTGGAAACCAAACTCCACAGTGCGGAAACTGACACTTGGACGGCGCTGGCGGCAGTACTGGCAGCAACCGCCGCAACTTTATTTTTTGTCTTGAAGTTTTTATGCTGCCAACATGTCCGCCGACCGACAGGTCTGATAATTATACAATGCGTGTGCGTATATACATCTACATGTGCAAGGCACAGGAGTGCAGTCCCGGCCGTCCACCAGCCCAGCTGCACGCCGGCTGCTTTGCCAGCGGCCCTGAGGGGATTGCTCCCGGCGGTCTGCTGGCAGTCGGCAACCATACAGCGCATAGCAGCGATGAGACTATACTTCGGGCAGGCCTCTACAACTGTGCTGTGATGCTGCTAATGGGTTCGTCCAGAGATCCCAAGCTTTAAAAAGGATAAACCTAGCAGCAAGCGTGCCAACAACTACATGCTGTATGGTGCCGAAAAGTGTTGGGTCTGCAGTCGCAGTTTTTACAGGGTGTAAAAGATGTTAGGATTCGGGGTTGAGGTTTGGCGGGTTGTGAGTAAACTGTGCCTCCGTGATGCATCCATTGTCGCACCGCCCAGCTGTGGCGCAGCTGAATAGCTCCAGGAGCAACAAGAAGCATAATACAATCCCAACGTCAAATGCCAAAGCTGGTTCATGTGCATTGAGAGCATTGCTAACGTGAGCTTATTTCGTGTGAATGCATGTCGAGTTTAGGCCTGGTGGCTTAGCATAAGTTTTTTGTTACAACTACTACTGCACTTACTTCCACTATACCTCCTACAATATATACTGTATATACTATATATACTGCATATACTAAATATGTACTCTATATATATAGTAGAAATATTATATGAACTATATATATATATATAGAGTACATATTTAGAATACATACTATATAGACTAGATTTACTAAGTATACTACATATATATATATATACTCTATATTTAATTTATATACTGACATACTACCGACCCTCCTTTCTTCCTTCTTTCTTTTCGTCCTTGCTTCCTTCATTCCTTCCTTTCCTCCCTTCTTGCTTTGTTTCTTTCTTTTCTTCCTTCGATCCTTTTTCCTTGCTTCCTTTCCTTCCTTCCTTCCTTCCTTCCTTGTGTCCTTGCCTTCTTGTGAAGAAGTCAGGAGGCCAGGCCAGGTCCAGAAGCCAGGAAGCCAATTAGTGTTGACGCAAAGAAGGCCAACAAGACAGCAAACCAGGAAGGAAATCCCATAAACCAAGAAGCCAAAAGATGACAACAAACCAGCAAGGAAAGCCAAAAAGCCGAGAAGCAGAAAGCAAAAGCAAAAAGCAAAACCAGTAAAAAGCAAAGGCAGAAAACAACAGGCCAACGCCCAAAAGCCGAATAAGCAAAAGCGAAAAACAAAAAAAATTCACCAAAAAAACAAAATAAATTCCTCAAATAATTAGGATTCCTGCCACAATACGAAGTGCACGGCAGATACGCCGGCGCTTGTAAGCGAAATGAAAGAATTTATTGAATTTGAGCAATTATTTAATTACTTTATACATCGTTCCAGCTTTTTCTGTAATTTCGGGTGCAGAGCCGACTTTCCGTGTTCTGATTCCCCTATGTCTTGACTCGTTGAAGGTTGTGGCGTGCGAGTGCTCACATTTAATCTCTATTGCAGGATCTCAGTAAATCCGCATTACGCAATGACTTGGATTGAAGATGGTCAGCTAATCTATCTACATGTATGTCTGTAATATTAGTGTAGGTACAAAAAGCAAACCTCCAGGTGTAGAATGGACTTTCTATGCAGCACCTGGCATCTAGTCTATGACATGGCGCGGCAGTATATGACATTGTATACAAACCCGACACGTGTTGAAAAGATAAGGCTTCCACGGTTCCTTATTGAGGGCAAAATAGATGTGACCGCTAGGTTGGGGATGCTGGAGAGCCCTGCCGCACAGGTTTGCGAACGCCACAAGCCTCGACGCCCGAACTCTGAGGGCCGCTACCCAAGTACCTGGCAAACAGCGCGGGTGCCAACCTCATGCGGTTTGAGAATGGAGTTTGCCAGCAGACGAGGCACGTGGCATGTTTGCAGTGATTGAGTCAATGCAGTGAGCAGCGCACGTCGAACATTTTGACTGCCCTTGGTGCGGCCTCGCCTGAATCTGGGTGTGAAACATCTGCCGCAGAGCAGCTCTCTACACGGAACCAGTCCGGCAACTGCTCCACACAGCCGTGGAGACCCAGTCCCGAACATCCTCATAAAAATTCACTTTGCTCTACAGCTTGTTCATACAAGCATCTCGTGACTGCGTTGCCTGCTTCAGGGACTGAATCTCAGCGTCCCACTCCTGAGGTTGAGCTTTTGAAGAAGCTGAGGTCGTGACTTCAGGCAGGTTATATTCTTCTCATCGCACACGACATGTAGCAAATGCAAAGCAGCCATTGATGTGCAAGAACTTAGCAATACTTTTCCTTCGCAGTGTGGAAGTCCAGGCGACAGAAGTCGTCAAGAACTGTAATCTTGCATCGTCAGACTCCACATATGTTGTATTCTCATTCTCACTATTGTCGTCACCCTCACACCACCAGACATGGCAGCATTACTTTACATTAAGTTTAACTATACATTGGAACACAACTAACTATCGATACGAAGACATGCTCTGCGTCACATAATTGCACGCATACCTGTGTGGAAGTGACTATGACATACATGTGAGATCAGCCTGGAGTCTGTGATCACATGACACATAGACAAAAACAAGCTAGACAGCACTACTCTACTTCCTCATAGCCTTGGATTTCAGATGGACCTTCCTGACGGAGCTGGAATGATTTTTCTTGGTAGAGGACGACGTAGACGAGGCGGGGCGACGACAGACATACTTGTGGGAAGTGGGCTTTCGCAGTACGCGAGCAGCCCTGGCGATTTCGGCCTTCGCGCTGAAGGCGTTCAAGTGCTTCATGTAATTGCGGCGCATGAGAAGGTTGTGCCTCTTGACGTAGACCAGGACAAAGAGCATGTGCGAGTTCATGGCCTTGGTATTGAAGGAGGAGGCGTAGTTGCGGAACCAAGAGAACGTTTGCTCGGCAATGGACGAGTTGACGTTGCGAAGACGTAGATCCAGGCGCCCATGACGCAGAGGCGAGCATTCACACTTCGGAGAGTGAGCCCTGGCGTAAACACGATCAATGCACCAGTACTTGATGTGGTTCAATGGCTTTTGGGCCCTTGCATGCTTCAGCAGGCGCACATCCTATCGTATATCACGCAGTCGATCTCGGAGCCTCGCGACACCATGTCAAGGAGAACGTTGGTGGCTGTCTCATTATTTTCCGGATCTCGCATGGCAGACACGGACAGGACGAGTCCGGTCGAAGGATCAACTGCCATAAACCAGCCGTCCTGTCGTTGAGGAGTCTTTCCATCCTTGCGTGGTCTCGGAGCACTTAGCAGCTACCTTCTGGTGCTTATCCATAACAACCTCCTTCACCATTCGCCATTCTCTTTTGTTGAGCTGGTTGTCATGCCACCATTTCCTGTACGTCTCCGGAATTCTGCACGGTCTAGGAACACCCCACAGTCCAAGGTTGAGCTTGCTTCACTTCCAAACAATGCCTTATCCAGGATATAGTGTCCATTCCCTTGCCGCTGCCGCCCTTCCCTACCAAGAAGAGAATCCTGGACGTGCAGACTTGAGCAAAGGCTGCTTTCATGAAGCATAGCTTAAGCTGCAGAGCGTGCTCGTTGTCGAAATAGACAGACTCCAGGAATGTTCGGAGCACATTGCGAAAATCCTGAATCGAGATGCCTGGGTGGTTTTGCAGCGTCTCCTCATAGAAGTACGGATAGCCAATGCGAAGGTAGCAGTCATTTGCCCGACTTTTCGTAGACACCTGCCAGGTCGCGTTGAGGTAGAGGTCGCTGGAGCAGACTCCTTGTGAGCGAGGCAAGGCTGTATCCCACTCTACGAGGAAGAGCTTCGAAAGCGGGGCGATAGTGCTGCACTCATCATCCCACTGCATCCTATACGACGCGATCATTTCCGCCACCCGCCTCGACCACTTCGCTTTCCAGACTTTGTTGGAAGTCGCCACACGAAGACGGTCGATGTTCGACTTTGCAACGAGCTCAAGATGGTCGACCAATGTCTGGGAAACATTACTCTCAGCGTGTCTGCGACAGACATAAAGCTTTTGCTCGTCGGCAGCATCTTAGATCCCTGAATGAACAAGCCCTCCAACGCCAGGAGAATGTGCCAGGCCTTGATTCGCAGACCGTCGACCATGCGCCAAGCGCCGTCCTCGTAGTGAAAGATTTGCTTCTGATGCGCACGCCATGTGTGTGGCTCCATGAGCATAGCAAAGGCCAACTTTTGTTTGTTGGACATAAGTTAAGGTAATTGGCCATATGCGCTTCGCACAGGAACCTGGCCATGTTGACAAGCTTGCGCACATCATCCTGGTACATGGAGTAGTTCTCATTTGACCATACAAGATAAGCCTCCACCTTCTCCTTCATGCCATCTTTCGGCTGGACATCCGGTAGGACGACATCAGGGGGAGCTTCGTCAGCATTATCCCACTGCATGTCCGAGAATGCCTGAAACCTTGGTGCGTCGGCAACACACACAACATTATCAAAGCGTCTTCACTGCATGACTGCATGACTGACTGCAAGAGGATGTCTGAGGACACAACAGGTTGCGAACATGCAGGCGGTTCGCAGGTGGAGGAGGGGCTTCCGGCGACGAGATGCCCGCACTTGATTTTCTCCTTTTCTTGCCGCGCATGTGCTTCCGGTCGTAGACGTGCTATCTTCATTCTCTCAAGTTCCAATTCAAGCTGCTTCTTCTCAATATCTTTGTCCGTGGAGCTGGGCTTCTGACACATAGCCAAGTCCTTCACAGTCTGTTTGGCAGTGGTCGTCGTCGCAAATGCATCACTACTCTGGCTGCTGCTTTTGTCTTCTTGCATTTGCATCTATCGATGCCCCACGCGCCACATGTTGAACATCTGCGTCGAGCCATTCTGCAAACTATCTCTACTGACGATGGCTGAACATAGACTTTTGCAAAACTGCAGCAACATGCACATGAGGCATGCGGTAACATCTTATGCTCGCGGCGCAACTGGAAATAGAATAGAGACGTGAGTACAGTAGCAACGCATAGACAGCTTGCATACTGCATGTTGTTGCTTTATGGAAAATATTTGCTAACATGTGCTAATATGCCTTTAACACAAATACAAACGTACATACGCACAAGCACTGACGGCCCTGCGTCGCGTGGACGCAGAGGCAAAGACCTGCAGCGAGCACGTCCCAAGCGTACAAAGAAAAGGAAAGAGTGTGCATCCGGGGGGGGCGGGCTCGGCCAAAAAAAATCAAATATTGTTGTTTTTGTTTGGCCGCCCCGCCCCCCCAGTGTCTCCTAATGATACTGATACAACACCCTGCACCGTGGAATACTCACATATCCAGTACCTTTATGAATTGTATATACTATATACAACTATACGTAGATATTGTTTTCATTCCTTGCTGCTGTATTCAATATGAAATACGATCGTAAAGGATATGAATGGATATGAATAAGGTAAACTCGTAGCAAGTGCATCTCCCAACAAACCCCAAAGAGATAATATACACCAATACCTCTTGCCCTCCAACCCTAAAAACGCAGGCCCGTATTATGTTGTTTTCTGTAGGTTTAAGGGCTTAGGGTTTAGGGTTGTTTCTTTAAGGAGCTCCTTTTCAGGATCTTTGAAGGAAGCCTTAAAGAGAACCCTAAGCCCCGAAGCCCTGCAGCCCAAACTGTCTGGTGCTCTTTTCGGCTATGGGTAGGCCCTAAACCGTCACCTCCCAAAAGCCTGATAGGGGCCACGAACCCGAATGCAGACACGCGTAACGCAGATATCGCATCCCCTAAGGAAAATAACCGGAGAAGGAATCAGGGCAGCACCAGAGTCGTTCCCCCTTAGGTTGACGGATTCAAAACGCGCGCGACACGCGCGTGAAGTTCCCCCTTAGCTTGACGGATTCAGAGCGACACCTCTGGGGTTACCGATTCCCCCCTTAGCTTGGCGCGCGACACGCGCGTTCTGCGGAGTTCCCCATTCTTAGCTTGACGGATTCAGCTGCCGGAACACGCCTCCTGTGAATTCCTCCCCCTTAGCTTGACGGATTCAAAACGCGCGCGACACGCGCGTTCTGCGGAGTTCCCCATTCTTAGCTTGACGGATTCAGCTGCCGGAACACGCCTCCTGTGGAGTTCCCCATTCTTAGCTTGACGGATTCAGCTGCCGGAACACGCCTCCTGTGGAGTTCCCCATTCTTAGCTTGACGGATTCAGAACGCCGTCGGACGCGCCGCCGCCGGGCTTGACGGATTCAGAACGCCGTCGGGATGCTGCCGGGACGCTGCCGGAACACGCATCCTGTGGAGTTCCCCCTTAGCTTGACGGATTCAGAACGCCGTCGCACGTTCTGTGGAGTTCCCCATTAACAGCTGCCGGAACACGCCTCCTGTGGAGTTCCGCCTTAGCTTGACGGATTCAGAACGCCGTCGGGACGCACCGCCGTCGGGCTTGACGGATTCAGAACGCCGTCGGGACGCTGCCGGTACGCCTGTGGAGTTCCCCCTTAGCTTGACGGATTCAGAACGCCGTCGGGACGCGCGTTCTGTGGAGTTCCGCCTTAACAGCGCTGCGCGACACGCCTCGCGTCACACGCGGACGCTTTGCGAACGCTTTGTCAACGCTTGCGGACGCTTTGCGGACGCTTCAACAACGATCGCTGGTCACCTGCTGGACCCCTGGAGCCCAACCTTTCAAACGGGAACCCTTCTGCGCAGCATTCGGGAAAAGAAACTAAAACGATGCTTCCAAGGATCTCCCGTGGGTCTCGGAGAGCAGGAGGAGCCTAGGATGGCTTGCGGCTTAAAAAAGAAAGAGTTGGTTTCGGGGTGCAACCCATAATGAGGAAGTAAAACGGATCGTCTTCGAAAGTGTTAGGTTTCCATACGGCCTCTTGGAGGGCTTTGGCACTGAGTTAGGCTCGAGGTGTTGATGGTTTGGGGGTTTGGCGGCTTAGGCTTTAGGGATCAGGCTCTGGTGATCTATGGGTTTAGCATTGAGGGTTTTGAGGGTTCAGGGCTGCTCTGCACAATTATGATTTTGGTGTTCGAAATATTGGAAACTGGGAAGGCTGATCCCCATCTTGCTCTGCAAGGGCTCGGGGCTGAAGCCCTATCTAGCAACCTGGGAGGTGGATTGCGCTTGAGTGGGGAAGGTAATGCAGGGGCCTTAATAATTAGAATAGGGTTTTGGGGCTGATTATACTATAATATATTTATTTCAAGCAGCCCCCAAGATAGTGTAGGGCATTGTTAAGGCCCCTATATTGAAGCGTCTGGCTGCAGGCAGAAGCTGCAGGGTTTGGCGCGAATTTCCGCACCTTGGGGACTTCAGGTTGCCTGCTTATGACATGGACGCTCCATGCCCAGAGACTCCAAAATCCCTTAATTAAGGAATATTCCTTAAATCATATTAGGGATCCTACTATAATTTAAGGTGTATTCCTTAATTAAGGGATATTGGACTCTCTGGGTGGTTGCGGGCATCCCCGACACCGCGACCCTCCAAACCCGAAGTTAGTATCGGCATCGATGGATGATGCTAACTTGTTTTATGCTCTTGCCGCAGGCTTTAGCTCGCCCTTCCAGGGGGACTGACGACTGCTGCTGAGAAGGCCGGTATGTTTCGTACTCTCAATTGGGGGTATTTGCTCCGACCGGCGCTACCGTTTTTCTGCTGCTACCCTAACTATCATCATGTCGAGTCTCATTCCCAATTCTAGGCTAACTACTAAGAGTGCGACTACTACTGCAACTGCGACCTTACTACTACTTACCACGCATTACTTGCTACATACAACGTACTACATACTACTACCTACCGTAGGTCAAAGACCAAACCTCACAACCACCTGGGAAACGAAGTATAAGCTGGCATTTAATATAATACAAGAAACAGGTTAAAACTAGCAGGCATGCTTGCACGGTACTTCAGAACCCAGCATATTACCAAGACACCGTAAAATCCTTAACCCTGAGCGCCGAACCCTAAACCAAGAAAACACCTCAAGTCTCTAGCCCTGGACTTTGAAGTAAAGCATTCAGGGTTTAGGGCCTAGGATTTTTTTTCTAGGGTTTAGGGTTTAGGGCTTAGGGTACTTGGAGGGTCGGGGGACTTAGTAAGTAGGTAGTAAGTAGACTTATAAGTACCCTAAAAGGGACCCTAATTGGGGTTATGGTA